GGAGAAAGTGATATTTTTGACTTCTTGTTAAAAACTGTAAGTCCGATTGCTTTGATACTATACATATTGTTCATTTTTCTAATGTCTTCAGTTCTTTAATTGAAATGTGCATTGCGAACAGCGGAGCTATCTCAGCCGATAGGCTGCTTGCATTACATGTAAACAGTGTAGGATGAAATAAACTTGATATTTCTAATATTTTTATGTCTTTCACAACAGAAGCACTGACCTTGTATACCTTGTACGTACATGTAATACTGTAGAACACGTTTAAATAGCTGCATGCATTTTTAGCGGATTTGACTCTTGGCATGAATCTCAATTTAGCTAAAGTGTCGACTATCTCCCTGTGAGAATATACTTTCTGTTAAATTAGCTGCATCTTGAATTAGTGAAATTACAGATTAGCTAAATTACCTAAAATAACATGCTAGCTAAAAAGACATGTTTTACAGTATATTTTCTCTTTTCAGTTTAGACAGAATTCACATTTACTTTTTCATTGTATACCTTCCTACTCTTTCAGCATTATGTATGTTTTTAACTGTATATAAATATACCTATAAGTAGGTATAATCTGTTAACACTTAAAATTGTGAGAGGAATTTCCCGACTGGTGAATATTCTCACTTCCAGGGAGTTGCTATTTTATAACCAGATTTTCTTATCTTTTATCATACATGTAGCATATTATATGGGGTAAATAAAACAGTTGGTGATTGAAAGATGTTTTTTTCTTAACTGCATGCATGCAAGTCACAAAATTACAATTACCGATACCGAGTTTTTTAAAGGAATTGTGAAACATTGGATTTATTATTCGATTAGGTCAGTCATTGAAAATTAATCATAGATGAGAATGGTAAAATGCCTGTTAATCACTTCTCACAAGCCAATATCCCAGGGAAGCCTTCTACTGCTAACAACGACCTGCAAGGAAACTTTAAAACCATTTTGAGGATCAAGGCTGTAACAATAGCAAGGCAAGTTAGTGTTATAGCTGGGTGTGGGTTAGACAGGCAGCTGTCAGGTCATGTGTGACCTCCATTGTGACTCTGTACTCTGTAGTCAGGTAGCAAGAGTCAGAAGCCCTGAAAGTTTGCAACAAGACCCCTTAAGCTTACTATAATCATCCTCAGTTTCTCCTTTCACAGAGTTAGGGAAATTGTGATATATCGTTGCAAAGACTACTTTATTATCAAGGTATTTAGGGACGTGGCCATGACAACTTTCGTGAAATGCTCCAGCTAAGTAAGTTTATTCTCATATGAACAGTCCAAACAATGATCAAACCTTATTTGAATGTATGGGCAATGATATTTTGCTTAGTGGGCCTTGAAGACCCAATGTTACAGTAAGCAAGATGTGTATTCAATTACTGTAAAACATGTCTTTTTCGCGAGCATGTATTTTTTGCGAACTGATTCGCTAATTCAAGATGTTGCTAAATAACTTTACCGGTATCATAAATTCAAAATGACCAAGGCTTGGGACTTCCTAATTACACTTGACAGTTTTTCTTTGTTTTTATTGAGGTGATCACTGAGCATTTGTTTAGCATGCGACAGACAAGTATTGGGAAAACAGGAAATCAACAATGACAATTTGCTAAAATTGCATGTTGCTTTTTCAACATGTTTTACAGTACCCCCCCCCCCCCCCCCATTTCTGAGCCAGTATGATTCTGAAATGGAGATATACCAGCCAACTATAAGTCGTATGCATTGTATTTCTGTAAAACATGTGATCTTCCATGAATTGCGTCCCTGGAAGAATAGAGAATGCTAGGTGATACGTATAAACATTATATGTACAGGAGTTGACTTGAATGATCAACACAAACTTCATTTGATCTATTTGGCCATCGGCATGTTTTATGTTACGAGTTTAGTTCCCAAAATTAAACTAAATTGTATAGTTCATGATTTTTGAATATGAATCACTATCAAGGCTGTTTTTTTTTGTGTTTACCTAGCTGCATAGCAATGTTGCTATGGCAACCATAGTAACGATAAATCAGTTTGATGTTACTAGAATCTCCTATGGAACACTGGAAATCTGTTACAATGATGATGTTCTCAAGTGATAACACAGTCATATATATGCACAAACTTTGCCTCACCATGATGACTCTTATCCTACTTCACAAATATAATATGGAAATCTTTACACATAAGGTTGTATGAGCTCTTTGTTACCAGGGTTGGTACTATTTCTTGTACCACGCCCGTCTTGAATTTGATACTACACTTTTTAGCACTAGCAATAGAGCATTTTCTGTTCACCACGAGATCGTAAAAACATGACAAACAAAGGTCATAGCATCACAGTGATGTCAAAACAATGTATGGAATTCAACAAACGTGAAATTATTTTGGGGGTATTTTAATGCTACCGTTCTATACTTCTTTGATGGTCAATTTTGATGAAGTAAAGGTATCTTTTAATAATGCAATATTCCACCCTCAAAGATTGTAATTTTGACATTGAGCTATAGAAAAGAAATGCAAAATCGAATCGTTCATTTTTCGGAGCAGACGTCTGTTCCACATCTTTCACACAATACGCAAGATTTCGCTATGAATGAAAAATAACCTATTAGATATGCAGAAATTGACTAGCTGCACATTCAAAGACTAGATCAATTATACAAATTTGTCACAACAGAAATTACTATTAATAATGATTTTTTTTTAAATAGAAATTTATTTTAATAAATAATATTGTTTTATCAGTTTCACAAATACAAATGTAAATCATGCTAAGAGACACATGCATGAACACATTTCGGCAACGTTACCTTAAATCAGAGTACCTCGGAAGCAATACCATATGTTTGTATAATGGATATGGTTATTACACATGCAATGTATAAAAATGTACCGCACTCGGATGGTAGATTACCACTATGCTTCTAAATAAATTCAAAATGTAGGAAAATTTTTTTTATCTGACTGACTCTATAAATAACTTGGATACTTTGTTGCAAATCAGAAGCCAACAAGTGATACCAACAGCACCATGTATACCAGTAGGAATGGCTATAAATGTTGCCAAGGGATACAGCCAATCAGGATCCAGTTTTATTATAGGTGTTTTGTAATATGTCCATATAAGGTATATGTAAATTAGTGCCTGAAATAAAAAAGACATTTTGTAAGGACTTAACCATTAGAAACTCAGGGGTGGCAGATTTGGAACAATGAGTTCTACTGTAATTTCTCATGTTCACATAAATTTAACTTATACAATAATTATTGCAATTACTTTATTATGATTGAGAGATATTTCTATGGTCAAAATAAGTCATATTTTCATGATCCAGCATACAATAAATGCATTTTTTGTTTATGCTTCTATTGGAGATGTGCCTCTAATAGAGTAAATATGGTATACATCAACAATAAAATATAATATAACAAGCCGTTGAGAATGTCACTGTCCTCTCTGTTTTTGTAAATTAATATAAATGAAATGTCAACATTTATATGTTCCTTTTTGATCAAGTGCAAGTACCACTTATACACTTTCAATTAATGACTGTAAAAATGTATTGCAATTACAAGTTATAGTGCATTATAGTGGGATAGTTATGTCGGATTGCAGGATCAGACACAATTTATGATTGGCAGTATTGTGTTTGATTCGAATTTAACTATCCAACAATATTTTGTATCTCAGCAGAAAAACAAATCTAGGGCATATCATGTATCAACCATGTACCAAGTTTGGAGGAATCGGCCCATGAACTTCTGAGATAATGTAATGGACGGACGGATGAAACCCAATCTAAAAAAGTTAAACTAGGAATTTTTTTTTAGTAAACTCTCATGGCTGCTATGCAAGTTGACGTAATTAGTGGAATATAACTTGCTCATTTTGATACTTGCTGCAAGGTCATATCCTGTCAATTTAGGGGATGTTATAATTTATGTTGTCATCTCTCACACGGATTCAATGCAAGCTAGTCAAGTACAATGTAATATGCAATGTACATATCACTAAGTTTATGCAAATCACATCAACAATCCATTTTAACGACTACTGCATGTAGGACAAACCATGCAAACACAGAGGTGAATTTGGACATCAAAAGTACGGGAAGGTTTGACAAAACTGATTAACTAAGACAACAATCTTGATGGACACAGAAAACTATAATATTCAACTTGTGCGGCATGAGTGGCTGAATCATATCCTCGCTAATCGCTGACAAAGTGACAACACAAATGAAGTGCACAATTTGAGAGCGTAAACAAACACAACTAGGTCAGGCAGCCTAGGTGAATAATTGTCACATCCGGGAAACAAGTCTTCATCCACCCCTCCGTTGCAGTTAATACATATAATTGTTTAATATTATACCTGCTCAAATTTGACCATGTTAAACTGTTTCTCAAAGACAAGCACTTTCATTTTGCGGAATTACCGATATACTAGTTGAGAAAATCAGATTGATTTTGAATCAGCACCCTCAGCAAGTACATGTAACCAGGATGTGTTGTTGGTAGGGGTAACTCTTGTGTCTGAGGTTTATACTAGGTTTGGGTTTTTATATGTTAACTTACTTGTATACAGTACAACATACCAGTGAAACACCATCTGTATTTCATAGATGTGGCTGATCTAGACCTGTCTGTGAAGAGATGGAATAACAAGAACATGTGATTCTTACACCACCGGTAACCTCCATCTATATTTTATAGGCGTGGCCACAGTACACTGATAGAGGGACTGTGGTGTGTCTGATCTAGATCTGTCTGTGAAGAGACGGAATAACAAGAACATTGAATTCATATTTTCATTGGTTTTTTCACCAATAGTATTTCATTACCAAAGTTTTGATGGATTTTGATGGTAAATAATGTACATGTAGATACAGCCTCATTATCCAACAACCGTTCAGCTGGTTACCCATGTGCTTAACTGGCTCACAAAAAGGAATTGACAACAGTCAAGTCCAGAATCAGAATGTGCATGTAAGTTGTTTAAGGTGACCAACAAATGAAGTTCAACCAACTACCGGTAGCTATGTACAATGATGTAGAATGATGACAATTATATTTTAGGGAAGAACAATTTTTAAGAGTAGACATGATCCTACAATGATACGCAACAATGTACTTACTAAAATCTGCTAGGTCTTCTGTTAATTTGTTCATTTTCCTCTGAGTCCTGGCATATTTAGCAAACTCATTTTTAGCATTGATTTTACTTAATTCTCTCTGTAGTTCTTTTAAATTCTGTAATTTGGTATAGTGCTCACTGTTTTCTTTCTCCAACCACGCCAATATCTGAGGATAAAATAAAACATACGTTGAAGACAAGAGACTTCTAATAATTGTGTTTTTAAATACTGTATTTACCAAATTACGTCTAATACGTTATATTTTAATAACTCGACACAGAATAAATAAATAAATTTGGTTTCTACATGTATTTGAAAAATACATATATAATACGAATGACGATGCCAGTTAATAGCAAGTGCACCAAGGGCCATCGGAAGCCACTCGAGAAACAAACTCTATAGATAACATGTGTATACCGTATATAAGAGAGTATGGAGAAATCTATATACCCTAACATCTGCACTTTTGGCCAGTGAACGGTGCGATTTTGTTTCACGAATTACTACTGTAAAATCTGCATTAAAAACCGTGGCTTCTATTAAAATGGTACAATGGAACAGAGGGGATGTGGCTTCTATTAGAGCATCTACACATATGAGAAATGATGAATTTTTGGTTCTCCGATACTGTAAAATGACTAATTTTCACTGGGTTTAAATTGCGCTGATTAACCATTTCAGGCATATTCAGTGGATTTTAAATTCACTGTTTTATCATTTAGATAATGTGCTCTATGCTAAATTTTACATATTCACTGGGTTTTAATTTAGCACATTTTCCAGTCAGTGAAATAAGCAAAATTAAAACCCAGTGAATAATTACCCTTTTACAGTATTCAAAAAGAATTGGTGCGACTTCTGTTAGAGATCCGACTTCTAATACAGATTTTACGGATAGTATGCAGAGTGAGATAGTTCACTCATGATAAAATATGTGGTTCAATGATTTTTTTCTGGCAATGTACTGAAACGAGTTGAATATGAATAGTGTTTCTAGACATTCTGTGGAGCTGCAATACGCCAGTCATGCGTGGCGCCATCAGAACTCGCGTGAGAAATAAACTTCCATGATTCAGAAAACTTCAATGTGTTCTGTTTACATCAGTTCTATTTTTAGTGAAACAATAAACAGCTTGGCAGCCCTCACTCACCAGGCATTGCCTGCTACATATTATTGTTAAAAGTAATTGGCTACACTTTGTATTGTATGGCCACTTAACTACCTGGGAATTAACTGTGAGTCAAATAAAATATCCTATCCTATCCTAACCTATATACCGGTAATGTATATATTTGTGTTCCTTGAGAAAAAATATTCAATGTATGTCGTCAAATGCCATCTTCACTTAAAAACCGGGGTTTCAAACGAAAACGTCTTTTATTTGTGAGCAAATATCCTGTTATTACGTGTAATGTGTCGACCGCTTTCAGGTTACTAGTACCATGGAGGTATAAACTGTTTACACCTCCATACTAGTACTCACTGCAGTAAACTGCGCGCAGATCAACAGAGAATCATGCCTGAGCCGGGGTCAACTTGAAAGAAATCATTTCTTCCCACGCCAATCCCGACGATTAGAAGAACGATCTTTACCCACATTCACGTGTCAAATTGTAAAGGGTAAATTACTCACCAATCTCACAAAGAACGTTGTGAAAGTGTGCAAAAGACACAGCATAAACACAACGACAAAAATTACAATGGAGGCAGACATGTTTTTTATTGGGGCATCATGGGAAAGGTCATAGTTCAGAAAGTTATCAAACACGTTTGGACGCGTTCTGTATCTTTCAGCTGATTCATCAAAAGTTACCGTGAATGCAATTAAATCGCGGCATACAAACACTGCAGACACTTAGATTACTGAATCACCTCTACCGAGAAGCAATCCACCGACTCGTTGCCGCTATCAACATGCCACCAAAGCGAAAGGTAGGACTTGTGTGTACTGTACACATGCAGCCGTCAGAACAAAGACATATACAGCATTGTCACTTTGGGGTTCTTTGCGTTTATATCGATTATTGATATTTTGTCCACTGTTTTTCTTTTGGAACCAAAATGCACCGAGAGTATGATAATTCACATAAAGATAAAAACATGCATACATGTATACCCCGGCATTACGCCACTATAAGTATATTTGTAGCTTTGTCCTGTTATAAACAAAGTCAGCGTATATAATGAGTTGACCATCAGAATTGTTATTCCTGTCGTGCATTTTAACAGTTGTGAGCATTATAACTTACTACTAAATATCAATTTTGTTACCTCTCCAAGTCAGTCAGCTTTGCTATGTTGTGACAATGACAAATATATATGTTACCAATATGTTTGGTCAATTGTCCTCACCTTGACAATGAATGTCATATCTGTGCATCTAAACCATTCAACTTTTCAATTAGTATACCCCGGTAACAGACATGTATATATTATATATGTACTTAGATGTATTTTATGATTCATTCTCGTGTAATAAATTGTTAATGTTAGTGCTGTGTCTCCATCGGAAAACTATACATACAATGTAAATGTATATGTGTACATAAATGTCAAATACTAACTTGGCCAAAAGTAAATTTCGACGTATCTGAACGACACAAAACAGGTGCCAAACTGTATATGGCTGGGTTAAAAAGAGCTGCACCAATACCAATATTGTCTTTGATACAAATGTAGCTGTTATTCTTTTTGTTTAAAATTGTGTTCATTTACAAGACTGGCCCAGATTTATCTGAATAGAGTTGAAAAAAATCATTTGATATGAGTAAATATGTGTTTGCAATTTTCCCGATTTTTGTTATTTATTTATGCAACAAAGGCATTCTTTTATCTTCTTAAATACATGTACTTACAATTTTCAAAATTCAAACTGAAACAAAATGTTTCTATTGGTCGATTGAATAACATTAGAATGTTTTCAAACAACGTTGTTGAGCACTGTGATTTGATTCAACTGCTTTTGAAATTTATAAATATTCATGAAGATGCCTTTGTTGCACCGAGAGTAACTACTACACTATTTTATATAAAAATATATAAAACATTTTATTTTAGTAGATCCTCTTTTTTCTTGTCATTCAAATCCAAAGAAGATGCTTTCTTTGGCTGTAGAAGCAGTTTGGTATTAGCGATACATTTCTGCTGGTTTCCTTCAATTTACTGCCATCATGGAAGTAAAAGACAGATTCGGTTTTTTACCACCATGCTGCCATGTACATGAAAGGTATTCCATACCAGACTGAGGACTCAGGGTTTGCGCTAATGTCTCGGAAAGACGAGTCCCACTTACAAAATTTTAAGAGATTGAAATTTGACCCTGGATAACTTTATTAGAGATTGGACCCCAGCTTGCCTGAAAAACTGGGTCCCTCTTCAATAATTGGAGTCCGGGAAGCAAAATATGGGGTTAACGCAATCCCTGAGAGGTATGCATCTCCCAAGGTGTTGTGATTTGTCAAATTGTTTTCAATCATCTGTAATAAACATAACATTTTATAAATATTTTACTGGTACATGAAAACACCCATGCCTTCATGAAATAGAGTAGACCAAATCATGATTTAATTTGTGTTATGACGCAGATTTAAAAATCTCTTACCCCGGTATTTGTTTTTTTATACAGAGTAATGATAGTGATGCAATGAAGACAAAAAAGACAAAAGTAGATAACAAGGTATTTAATATTATTTGCATCTTTGAACTACATATGTTGAATATTTTTCATGGTGACAATTATTCAAGGCTTCCCGAACCCAAATGTATATTTTATTTTTTGAGGGTGGAGGGCTTATTATTTTGAAACCCCAATATACAATAATCATGGTATGACCCATATACTGTAAACCCTTTTTTTTCACTGTCATTTAATTTCACTATATATTTTGATGTTTTGAGCATATTCACTGTGTTTTAATTTCTTGTCAAAGAAACAATGAGTTACATGTTCATGCAGATTTAATTTAGCGGATTTTATTTATCAGTGAAATTAAAACCCAGTAAATAATTAATGCATCTACAATACCTGTACGATAACTGAAATTACCCATGATGCTATTAGGTAATACATACTTGCAGTGCACTTTAATACCAACTGAGGGCGGTGTATACAGTACATGACAGTGGTAGAAATGGTCGCCATGCAGTACTTGTGTGCTTATTCATCACTTTTTGTACTGGGTGATGGCAACCCATATTCATATTCCCATACCTATATTATACTGACGTAGCTGTCACAGTCCTGGTCTGTAGTACTGCATGATTACACATCTTGGTTTCTGATGGTTTAATCCTTAGTTAAAATTGTCCAGACTAGTTGGTATCAAACGTTTTGTATCATGACAATTGTTAAAGGGGAACTGAAACTATAAATAGGGGCAAGATAGCCACCGCAATTAGTATGCTCATTTGAACCAAGCCGCTCACATTGTGATTGTGTTATTTAAATGCCAAATGAACGTAGAGTATATTTAAATTCACTTCCCTTGTTCTGATGAAGTCAACTTGCATGTCAGTTTATTGGCCAACCATTCATTCTACATTGATGCAAAAAGGAAGGTACATCTCAAAGACCTTGGAAAAAACATGTATTCTAGGGATAGGGAGTTAAAAATATACTGGTAAATATAATATTTGTGAAATGATTGTAACTCAGTGATTTAAACACTTTACAGCAAAATTCTATGTTTCATTTTTGTAGGAAGCCAAAGGTGCAGGAAGCGAAAAACCAACATTAGATTCACTAGATTTCAGTTTGAATGCTAAAACAACAGATGGAAAGTATGTATATATTATATATATATCTTAGTGAGATAGAAAGTGTTGAAAGACTGTAGAATAGAAATTGTTTCTGCAAATATTCTATTTACACCTACTTAACTTTAATGGAATGAACCATCATACTTTTATATTCATTACTTTTTTGTTTCATTAAGTTACTGCGAAAATTAATTCCAAGCGAAAATAAAGTATTTTACAGTATTCTCAGCTTTGACCATCTCACACACAAGATGTATACAACACCCATTCCTTCCTTCAACTCTGTTTTTAGTGGGTTATTGCTCACATACGCACGATAATAAGAACAGCACAAACTTTAATATGACGCTATCTTTAAAGATGTATAACAGTTACCTGTAATTGACTATTTGTTAAATAGGGAATGGAATATAAAATTGGTTTCATGGAATGTCAATGGAGTCAGAGCTTGGTGTAAGGTAAAGTGTCTTTTTTTTACTCCACGTTTGAACGCAGTGGTAGTTGCATTGTCCATTCAAAAGCCAATGCTCAAGTTGTGCTTGTGCTTCCCCGTGGTGTTCCAGTTCTTTTTATCGTATTGATGTGAAAGACCAAGTGAGAAATTGAAGATGCCATCTGTTTTTTAAAAAAATAACTAAAATCCTTCTTTTCATTCATTTTAATGTAGAATGAGGGACATAAATATGTTAGCAAGGAAGATCCAGACATCTTTACGATCCAGGAAACAAAATGCCAAGAAGGAGAAGTTCCAGATGATGTCAAATTTGATGGTTACCATAGTTACTGGTCGTATGCTGAGGAGAAAGGTTATGCTGGCACTGGGCTCTACAGCAAAGTGGAACCTATTAGTGTTACCTATGGTATAGGTAAGTGGGCGTACTTCTACGGGTGTAGGTGGTGTGAAAGATGATAATTTGTAAATTATCTAAATCATTAATATGATATTGTAAAAGGATTAATTATTCACTTGGTTTTGATTTTGCTTATTTCGTTGACCAAAAAATGCGCTAAATTAAAACCCAGTGAATATATAAAAATTGGCATAGAACACATTATCTAAACTGTGAATTAAAAACCTACTGAATATGCCTGAAATGGTAAATCAACAAAATTTAAACCTAGTGAAAATTAGTCATTTTACAATACTCATTTTTGCCTGCTATAGTATATTTTCTAACCATCAATTCTAAAAAAATATGTCTTCAATGCATGTAGTTAAATCATTTAATGGGGCACTGTGGTTCACTTGTTTTTTTAGCATTGTCTTTGTAGAAGGGGCTTCTGTAAGTTTAAAATCAACAAAGATGCTACCATCTTTTATTTTAGGGAATCTAAACAATGATAATAACATAAGGAAAACAAGATAGGAGTTGACCTTCATCCAATTAGATGGAATTACCTAAAATGCTTATTATATTAGAGCACTTGGTTGTTCATGAGCGTCCAACTTTGTATCAAGCATGCAGAGTCTTTAATTGTACAAATCTACAGGAGTCATTCTGATTGGTGAATTGGCTGAAATCCAATGGAAATGTGTTTTACCTTGGCTTTGTACTGCTTATATAATTAAACTATAGAAAACCTGATTAATGATGTCAATCCACTGTTTGCCATTCACACAAGGTGAAAATTTAATATAATATTTTATTTCTCATGAATATTCAGGAATTAATAAACATGACAAAGAAGGACGGTGTATTACGGCAGAATATGAGAAGTTTTACTTCATATCTACATGTAAGTATACATAATGCTTGTCAGCTCAAACAGAAGTTTTAAATTTGTATAATATAGTTTAGGCCTGACAAAAATAATTTTTTTTTTTTCTGTGAAATTTTCTGGTATGTCTTATACGTGACCAATGCGAGTCATGGAAAATTATGGCATACTATAGCAGTGAAGATTTCGCTGGAGGTCATTAACCCTTTGGGTGCAAACTTTCCTCCCCTTATACAGAGTGAAATTTTTTTTTTCACAGATTTTTCCTAAAATGTTGATCAGCCCCACAGTAGCCAATAAAAAGTTATGTCAATTTAGTACAAAATGATGAGAAAAATACTGTAGTCGGACTAATTTTGTTACTCCAAATGTTAATTTATACGTAGTCACAATGACTTTTGAGAAATGTTGTCCAGGCAAACTCTCAAATTATGAAATGGCATTTGTAGCAAGGAAATTTTTAGTGTACAGTACCTGTATTCAGTGAACAAATATTTTTTTTTGAGGTGGCTGAATTTTTTAGCTCTGCTGTTGATTTTGTCGAGCTGAGCTTACTATATGAGTGATCGTTCGTCGTCTGTGTCATTTTTTACTTTTTCGATTTTTTGTTGTACCTTAGGTGGACCTTTTTCCAAATTTGTTCATTTGATGATATCTTAAATGAAATTTAAATGAATATTTTTGTCATTTTTGGTAAAAAGTGATATTTTCAACTTCTTGTTAAAAACTGCAAGTTTGATTGCTTTGATATTGTACATACACAGTCGGTACTACAGGTGGACCTCTCTCAGATTTGTTTATTTTTTGTTATGATATCTTCAATTCTCTAATTGAAATGTGCATAATTGCGAAAAAAAATGAAACAAAACACAAAAAAATTGTGGTTCTTGTCTCGAATAGCATTTGAATGTGGCTATTTCAGATGATTGGATCAGTAGAGAAAAATAACAAATTGTGTGAATACAAATCAGGTAGTTCAATAAAGTAATTACCATATTTACTAAGATGGACAGTTAAAATCATAATAAAGACATTCACAAAGTCTGCAGAATACCTGCTTCAATTTCCATACTTTTAATTGCATCAAGACAACATGACTTGTTCATCATTTTCTTACACCATGTAAAACCACTCTAAACAAACAAATTTGCCTTTCAGATATTCCAAATGCTGGGAAAGGTCTAAAAAGGTAAAAAACAATATTATTTATTGATTTTTTAAGAGTGATCGTAAAATCTAATGTAGATTATTCTATTTTGTTGTGTTTATGTTTAATGCTCACTTATCCAGCCATATATTGCTTAAAAAAAAAATTTACAATAAAATATCTTTGTCATGGTATTTATAAGACAGCAAGGAACTATAAAACACTTGGTATTTAATTGGGAAACCATGATCAGGATGTGATTAGAATTTATTATATTGTAGAGGGCTCCATTCATTGCAATTACTTTTGACTATTTTTTGTTTTACTTGCTGTTATTGTTTTTTTATATATATAAAGTTAAGGCGACTGAGATACAATATATAAAAAACTTGCCGTTATATTGGCAATTAAAACCAACAAAATATCGATAAATAAACAAAAATTACAATTAATTATGAGATAATATTTGTAGCCCTATACCTACGTCATATTTCAATCAGATTTAACTTTGCAAATTTCGATGAGGCTGCTTTAAACAAATTTCCTCTGATAGAATTCAATGTCACGGACACCTAAATAGAGCATGTCTTACAAAAAAAAAACAGTCTGTAATACTAATTCTGATTGGTTGTTGTTTCTGTGGGATCTGATGACAGGATTTAATGTCGGCCAATTAGAGCATGCCTTACGAGAATGCAGCTTGTTACACATGTTCTGATTGGTGTGAGAAACCTATTAATGTTTGTACCCGTATATTTATTAAAAAAAAAGAAAAGAATTTCCACAAATCATTGACAGAGGGCACTATAGATAATTCATACCCCTTCTTACACAGGTTGAGTTACAGACAGGAATGGGACAAAGATTTTAGAGAGTACATGAAAAAATTGGATGAAAAGAAGCCAATAATTTGGTGTGGGGATCTCAATGTCGCTCATCAAGAAATAGGTAAGTGAAACACTTTTGCAATAAATAAAACAAATGTTGTTGATAAAAATAATCTGATAATGCAGTAAGCCAATTTTAATTTTTTATCTTTGAAAATGTCTTGAGTCAGTGTAGTGATATATTGACTGACATGAATCCCATATTGCCTGTGTCCTTATTCAACCTTTTCACCACCAGTTTTCTTTTTTCATCACAAATTCATTTATGGTCTGCACTTTACTTCTGAAAATTTGGACAAAAATATGCAAATTTTTAGCTCCACTGTCAACAAAGTTCATATCACATTTTACAATTTCAAATTCTTCTTCAAAACCGAAAGTTAGAATGTTTTCAAATTTGATATGCAACTACCTTGGATGGTTCTTTCTCAAATTTGTTCATTTCATGTCAAAATTTCAAATTCTCTATTTTTGGGGAATATTTTTGTAATTTTTGGTAAAAAGTGATATTTTCGTCTTCTTGTTAAAAACTGCAAGTCTGATTGCTTTGATACTAAACATATAGGTACCTCAAGTAAACCTCTCTCAGATTTGTCCATTTCATGATAATATCTTCAATTATCTAATTTTGATGAATATTTTTGTCATTTTTGGTAAAAAGTGATGTTTTTTAATTCTTGTTGATTGCTATACATAATATACATATTGTTCATTTTCTAATGATATCTTCACTTCTTTAATTGAAATGTGCCTTGCTAACAGCGGAGCTATGTCAGCCGACATGCTGCTCGTTTGAGTAAAAACTGAAAATTTACTCATATTTTGCCTGATGGCTCCAAAAGATGGTTAATTTCTATTGAAGAATAAAAGAAAAAAGTGCAGAAAAATTTACCCCATACAGGAGAAATCTTAATGAATTCTAATGAGGCTATTTATCAGCCATTAAATTCAATTGTAATATCCAAATATACACATGGTATAAAAGTTGGCATCTTCATCATTGTAATAAATATCGTTTTGAGATTTTCTTGAGTCAGTAAAAATCATGAAATTTGTAACACCAATTAACTTTACATACTATTTTATCTTTTTTTTTTTTATTTTTTTTTTTTTTTTAAATGTTTTTTGTGCAAGGCGACAATTCTGGACATTGAGTGTCACTGTTGTCTCTCCTGACTTTTTTTTTTGTAAGTGCAAATTGTGCAAAGTGCTATCATCTTTTTTATCATCTTTAGATTTAACAAATCCCAAGACAAATAAGAAAACTGCTGGATTTAGTAAAGAAGAACGTGAGGGTTTCACAAAGCATTTAGAAATCGGTTTGGTGGACAGTTACAGACATCTGAATCCGGAGAAAACTGGTGAATGGTCATTCTGGACATACATGATGAATGCTAGAGGCAAGAATATTGGATGGTGAGTTGAATTTAATAATCAGTCAGGCAATATTCACTTTTATTTTTTTATTTTCGATTGTTCAATCCTACCCCAATTTATGTTACAATCTGAATATTTCAACTATAGAACTAGTTCATGTCAATTTCCATGTTCTGTTGCTGTGTGTTCTGCTGTAAAATTAATTTTCGCTGAAAAGGCTTTTTGGGTGTTACATTTTGTAAGTATTGAAATTATTTTCACTGATTTTTGATGAGTTGAACGTAAAATATAGGAAAAAAGGTATATTTACTGGATTTTATTTTCACTGAATCATTTTCTTCAGCAAAAATAGCGAAAATTAATTGCATGTGAAAATAAAGTATTATACAGCATGCTGGCTTAGCAACTTGAGCTTCACATTGCAGTGATGCATTTTCAAACACAACTTCCCTTAGTAGTATGCAAAACAAATATTCTTTTTGTTTCATTCACAGGCGTTTGGATTATTTCGTACTTTCAAAGAGACTACTTCCTTGTCTATGTGACAGTATTATAAGAAGTCAAGTGTACGGAAGTGACCACGCACCCATTGTACTCTTTATGGCATTCTAAACTTGTATACAGGGTTTGGTCTTCCCTTAAGACTGCTACAGGGATGACGACATGTTTTCATTGGAAAGCAGAATTCAACTAAAGATATCTTTGATGAGTTGTTTGTTAATTTGTATACAAACTACCAAGCTAAGTGACAATTGAGTGTTGCGGTTTAAAACTATATAGAATACAGCTTTTATACATTCAATTTTCATCTATTATTTTGAACAGATTTTTTTTTCTCATTGTTTGCAAAAAAAAAAAAAAAATCAAAAAATCACCTGTATTTGTATACAATATCTGTCCAGTTTTTAAAAAAATATAATGGAGAAGTCTAAACATATACTGGTTTGATTTGATGGTGAGATGGTCCAGGAAGACTTCAGGAAGATTCAAAATGTGTTTATCTGGCTAAATAAAATTAAGTGTGCTTGTACAATGTAGTAACATTAAAAACAAAAATTTGGCTAGGTATGACTAGTTATTTTGTCTTATTTTGTTTAGTTTTTTGTTTATTTGGCCAAATAAATTACAAGTGTGCATGCACAATGTAGTAACATTAAAAACAAAAATTAGGCGAGGTATAACAAATTACATGTATTTTGTCTTATTTTTTTTAGTTTAACCCTTTAAATACCAATTTTTTTCCAGAAAAAATGTGATGTTTGTAGTTTTTGTTCAAAACATTTCACACGTAAAACAACAGACTATAAATGGAACTATTTTGAAGATGATGGCTGAAGCATGCTTATCCATAATGTTTATAGTATTTTGCAAATGAAATTTACATGAAGAATTTTTCAGTATCTGCGAGAATTAAGTACAGTCGTGTTACCAGAAACATTTTTGACTCCCATGTGCGAAGCACAAAAAGGGAGTCTTTGCAGTTAGTGTGTCTGTATGTGTGTGTGTGTGTATGTGTGTGTGTATGTGTGTATGTGTGTCCGACTGTTCCACTGCTATCTCAAGAACCATACATCGGTTTTTGATGAAACTTGGTGCATAGATGCTCTGGGCCAATGCACAGATTTGATTAGGTTTTGGTAAAAATCCATGCTCGTTAATTACCTAATTTGCATGATAATTAGCTAATTTTTAGCTGTTCTATGACTGTTCCACTGATATCTAAAGAACCACTCATTGGATTTTGATGAAACTTGGTACATAGATGCTCTGAACATATGCGCAGATTTGATTAATTTTTGGTAAAAATCCGTGCATATTAATTACCTAATTTG